TTATTTATTTATAATTTATAAATAAATATACATTTAAATTATAATAATAATAATTACAGAGTCCTCTGACTTAATGAATTGCAGTTATCTGTCTGCCTCCAATTGCTTTCTGTGTTCCTTGATTTGATGCTACCTTACATTTTGATCCAAAAGATGGGATAAAATGATGCTTAAGAAATTTTTACCCCGAAGTGGAATAATATCATAATATCAACCACCTCTGGGCCCTTGCTGATCACAACTCTTGATTGTGGGGGGTACTTAACATCCCAAACTGGAGATATCATTTGCTACCATCAGAGGCGCTGATGGAATGAGATCAGGGCACAGAGAAGACTGGGTTCTTAGAGGCTGCAAGGTGTGATTACTATGTAAAACCACCTGAAATGCAGCAGCCGGTGGCCCCAGGGGTCAAGGCTGATGGCCGCCTGTCCTTGGCCACAGGCTCCCTGGATGAATCTGGTTGGGTGCTATGAGGGGCAGAACCTAAGACCAGGAAAGCTCTCGGCCTGATCTGGCCACAGGGATGGTCGTCTTCCATTCTCATAGTCTTCCTTTAATCAAAGCACTCTTCTCCTTGGCCTCTTTCCTTGTTGCATCTCCAGGGTTGGCCAAAGGGGGACTGGCCTTTCGGCCACCATCGCTCGGAGCGAACACGAAATCTCGGAGATCATCGATGGGCTGTCAGAGCAGGAGGTGAGAGCGGGGTGGTTGGGCCAAATTCCACCTGAAGGTGAGGGGAGGGGAGGGTGAGGCCCTTTCCCGTGTAGACCCACGCTAGATATTTATGGAAGGTTTTTTTATTAAGTGGTGGGTTATTGCTAGGCCTGGCAAAAAATCAGGGGTCTGGTAGTTGGAAAAGGGGCTACCAGACCCCTTATTTTTGGCCGCCATAGACTAGCATGGCTGTCCTATAATGCTAGGCCTGGGTTATTCAAGGTGAGGGCAGGTAATCGTTTGAGTCTTTTGGGGTGGAGGCGTTTTTTATGAGTTGAGAGGAAAGGAGCAGGATCATTATTGGCTGCTGTACAGTCTGGGGTATTGGCACTTGCTGCCTGTCCTTCTCTTCCTCTTCTTTTAAACAACACTGACCAGGATTCTCTGCCATCCCCCTCCTAATTAAGACCGTTCCTAATTGCTAGAGCTCCTCGCTTCCCTCCCATCTGAGCTCCCATCCCTAGATGCCCGCCGAAAGCTTCTGCGCGTGGCTCCCTCCTGGTTTCCATACGAGAAAGAGCCATCCTCCTTTCTCCATCTTGTGCCCTTTCGATTTTTCATTCGTAATTCCTATCACATGTGATCTGTGCAAGGGCACCCCCTTAGAGAAGCTCATCCTGGAGCTTTGGAAAGGCTTATAACGCGGGTGATAGTGGAGTTGGCAGAGATGCGTGGGTGAAATTGAACTGTGCCTGGTCCAGGGACCTTACCCCTGGCCTCAAGGGGGAATGCTTTGGGCAGAGGGATGGAAGGGAGAGATGGATGTGAGAAAAACGTAAGCAGCTGACTTCGTTTTGTCAGGGGAGGGCTGCTGAGCAGTGCTGACTTTTGGCCCGCCCAGTAGAAGGCACGGGAGGGCGCCTTTTATTGTTAACTCCATTCCATTCTAATTCTGCACTGATCTGAGTTGTTGAAGAAGATCTGAGCAGGAAAGGCACGTTGAAACCCCTCTCCGAAAAGCTGTTTTCAGAAGGTGCTTTCAGAAAAGCATCTTGAGTGGGGTGTTGGAGGTAGCAAGGGCTTTTGGAAGTCAGCAGATACTAGCTCCCAACCAGCAGGTTAATGTAGAAGCAGGTGGATCGTGCCCATTCTTATTGAAATAATCAAGATGTCAGCTCTGCATTATAATTGCTGTGGGTCTGGCCGGTACAGTCCATGTAGAAGGATGGTGGTAGTATTTAGAGCGGGGGTCTCTAGTCTGCTGGGATCAGTGGGCACAAGGGCGTCTTGAGAGCATGTGGTGGGCGTGCCAAGAAAATGTGCCGACCTGGCAGGATTTGTCCATTTACAAAATGGCATCCTGGGAAATAAGAAGGAGGCTGACGTTTGCAGCCGGGCGGCTTCGTTTCTCATTTGGTTTAGAATTAAAACAGTAAGTTTTAAAAAGTGTTGGAAGTGGGACAGAGGATCTGGCAGGCATCAAGGGAAGGATCTGCAGGTGTGTTGGGGATCCTGTCTCAAGTGCCCTGGGTCCTTCATCTCTACCGGAAGAGCATTTCTGATTCTTCGTTTTTATTGTAAGCTTAATAAAGGGAAGAGAGTGACGTGGACTTCCCTCCACCACCTCTGCCTGAGCTCCCAGTAGCAGAAGTTTTTGCTGGGG